TGGTTCCCCTATAATTACTTCTGGCTGTCCACTGGTCCTTTCAACCGTACGCGTCTCCAGGTATGCAGGTATGGACGGTATACAATATTAGCCTTGCGTGAGACTAAAATTCATACCCAAGGGAGAAACCAAAGCGATAGTAGTGTTTATACCGAATAGAGGAACAACACTTTTAAAGCAAACGACTTTGGACTAATAATCCTTATTTCTTTCTTCATCAAGGTACTAGATAGACAGAAAATGTATATGCATTAACTAGAAAGTCTTTCGACACACGTCAAACACCTCTTCTACCACTGAGTTTTCCAGAACGAACCGTTTCTAGTTAGCGCGTCAGATATTCCGTTGCTATTAATGTTGCTGTGCCTCGAAACCCAGATTAGTGCAACAACATGCCTATCGCCTAAAGCCATAACCTACTCTATGCACTGCTTTATTATGTTGGAGGTGATACTCGTGCGACATGGCTAACCGGAAAAATAGCAAAGCGGGCCCTGCTTTCTCCGAGGGTGAACTAATTTTGCACGCTTCTTTGATAACAATGGCGTTCAGTAAAAGTGTCCTTCCACTCCTCCCTTGATTGGCAATTGACCGATGATATTTCTTGCTTACGTTGGACATGATCTGATCGACCCCGTAATCGCAATGCGAACTGACCTTTGTACCCTGCCTAACATTGTGTGTATGTACTTAGTTCGTCCCTATGGCTTTCCATCAAACTAGTGAACCGTATGCAATAATTAGGAGAATCACAGCCTTATACATCTATAGCATAAGATCAGGGTGCAGACCACACTTCTTGCCTATAATTTTCTCGCAGGAATACAGGACAGAAAATTGCAAAGAAAGGGTATAGGATATAAGCCATCGATTTTTATTTTTTGGTTTGTTCATGACCCAAATACAACGTGTTTTTACAGTGCAAAGTTTGTTTAAGGAGTTAGGTTTTGCGGGCAGCTCTGAAAAGAGTTTACTTGCAGGCCAAACAGGCCCGCAGGGTTTCCCCTACAACTCTTTATACCATCCTTATTCCCTAGCAGACCCTTCAAAGGAGTTTTCCCTAAGCTGTTGAAGAAGTTGTCCCCCAGATATTTGAGTAATTTTCTTTGGAGTGCTGGGCACTCGCAAATGAAGTGTTGAAGGGATTAGATATCTTCTTCATTCTTGCAGCTTCTGCAGGAATCGTTATACGCGGCTCCGAACCCGGCGGCTATTTATGTGGCCAGTGGTCCAGTGTCGCCTTAACAAACTCCGTGTACTTCGTTCATTGAGCCGTGGTCAGAGTGAGCACGATACCGAGCAGGTGTGCAGATTATTCCACCTGTGGTTGGTATCTGTTTTTTAAATTGTTAATAGAAAAAATACCCAGGCTATTTTTGCTCCTCCTACACTGGCATGTATATCAATCAATTCGATATTATTGTTCCCAATATGAAATTTTTTTGTCTTAGCCAACATATATAGGCATGTTTTCCGGTAACTTTGTTTATACTGTTTCGGGGTTTGTTTATACTGAGTTCGTGAATACATCATATACTGAGAAGTACGTATCGTCGCTTAAAGTACAAAACCGCGTATCGTCATTCTGCAAAACCGCGTAACTGACATTTGCTCCCAAAAATTTGTTTGCTCACACAAGCTCTTGGCATCTTTATCCATTCGTCCCGAAATATACTAGCCAGGAATGCGATTGCTTTATAAAAAAGAGAACCGTTTTGAAATATGAGTGTTTTTATTCTCTAGAAAATAATTTACATAATTCACATACGCGGTTTTGCATTATCTTGATACGCGGTTTTGTACTTTAAACGGCGATATTCTCTTTCATTAAATTTACTTTTATCCTACAAAATGTACATATGTATATTAGACTGTCCCAAAAAACCGAAGTTGTTTTTTCCTAATTTGAGTGGTTTTGTCTTAAAAACTATCCAAAGAAAGTTTTATGCAATTCGGACCACGGCAACCCGTGCCGACTTGCAGTCAAAGTTTCAGCTCTCAATCCTGCCGTCCTATTAAAAACTTAAAGATGCAGATTTACTAGAAATGCGTTCATTATGGGAAACATATCGAGTTTTTCGCATTTCCAAAGTTTTCATGGACGATTAATTCAAGTTATTAACTAAAACTTCAACTAAAAGTCGGCACGTTTTATCGTTATCCTACGGCCATAAAACTTCATATATATGTTATTTAGGCTAAAAAGCAAAAATATGGAAGATATGCATATAAAAATTTGCAAACAAATTTGTTTCCATATATATATTCTTGGGACTAATTATTGAGTCTAATGTATATATTACAGCTTCTAAAGCCACTAGCGTTAGCCTCCACGGTTAAATATCAATAAAGTACTAATTTAAGGAAACTGTATGCTTAGTCTTGTTCCTAGCTGGTTAGAATAAAGGCGCGCCATTGTTTTGACGGCGAAAAAGGACGCATTGACGAAAAAAGACGCGTAAAAAAATGTCGGCGAATAAAGACGCCTAAACATAGATTTATAACTAGCCAAGGATTGTCACCTCAGCATTATTCCCCAAAACTCTTTGGGGAATGTACATACAATTACACTCTCAAACATAGTTGACTCCGAAAAAAAAGTTTACGCGCAAGGCGAATTTATACAAGGTGGTGTTAATGGCGAATTTAGATTTACGCCGCGGTACCTCCTAATGTCGAAATGATGTGTTTTTGTTGTAAACAAGGGGAATTCATATAGGTTAACGCGTCATTCTTCGCCGTCGACTAGGTTAAGACGCCTTTCTTCGCCGTCGAAGTTTTTTTATGGGGTTTTTTTTCGCGGTCAACTTTTGAGCTCGCGCCTTTATTCGTGTCTAGTGACAATATCATCCATACTCAACACGCGTATCTCAACTCACTCGACTTATTTCACTCAGCCAGCTTCCGCATATCCATATAAAAGTGTCTCCACGCAATACAGACACCTTATTCAGCACAATAACCGTAGCGCACAGTATCTTTTTTTT